ATCCGTTATTACTTCAAAATCGTGTTCCTTGTTTTCAAGAGATGGATTCGACCACGGGTATTATATGTATTTGCCTCCCAGTTATCTATTTACTCGGAAGTAACTAGTCTTGGTTACTCCAGCCCCCTCTTCTACTGCAACACGTATTGGGGCGGCGGAGATAGCTCAAGCTAGTATGATCAAGGTAGTTCTATCAAGCACCGATGGTATCACGTTTCTACAATGGGATATGGGAAGCTTTTACACGGAAATTGCGTTGGGTGGTCGAGAGGTCTACGTCTGTCATTGTCAAGTGGCATGGTTTCGATCCCACGCTAGTGCGTGACAAGGAGTATGGTCTCATGCGGTTACCTCACGGGTCTTCCGGTTACCTCATATTGCTAATAACCCTATTGAATTGTTTGCTTGTTTGTTTTTTTTCTGAGTATGATGTCTTGTCCGTGTATTTGTTTTTTGTGTAAATTTTGTGTGGTGCAGTCCCCCTGCACTTACTATAAGATAATTCAGGAAGTGGAAGGGTTTCGATCCCACGCTTCTTCGTGACAAGGAGTATGGTCGAATGCCCAACATCGTGGGTTTGTACGGGTCTTGCGGTTGCGTCACACTGCTAATGACCCTATCAGAGAATTAAGGAAATAAAATTGTACCATAAGTTTGTTTCGAAATGACATGTAGGAGTTCACCCGGGTCTATGTGGCGTTTCTAATCTCATAATTTCTTTTTGCTAGCCTGGAGGTCGGGTGTTCGATCCCTGCATTGGCCGAGAAAGTTCGTCCAGATTTTCCGGCGTGGTTCCCCCCTTGTCAGTGATGCAGGACGGAGGGCCTGACAAGGACAGCTGTCTAGCATTTCGGACGTAAAAGATCCATTGACAGTTGGAATTCGATATAAGAGTAGGCCGTAGTGCCGCTGTCCGGGCAAAATTTCCCTCATAGCACACTGTATGGCGTATGCCCGTCTTCATTAGCCCAGTTCGGAGCAGAACAATAGGACGTTAAACCCCATTTCATTTCATAATTTCTTTGGCCGGCTGATTGAAATACACTACTCGGGGATGGTTATTATGATGTAGGGTTAATTGAACCACAACGTAACAACGATAAGCGTTCTATTGACTATTTTAATTGGTCAACAGGCCAACATTTTACCAATGGACACACCCACAATTGCCCACAACTGTATTCGTAACAATTGCTTATGGGCTGTGCATGCCCTTTACCACTACGCAGGAAATATGACATTAACCAAAAATGTACTGTCTGGCGATAACCCTTTAAGATTGCTTTAGGAAAGTTTTTTTGACGTAGTTATTATTCATTAATAACATGATATACATGTATATGCCCTGTGTATGCCCTTTACCACTACGTAGGAAATATGACATTAACCAAAACTGTACTGTCTGGCGATATCCCTTTAAGATTGCTTTAGGAAAGTTTTTTTGACGTAGTTATTATTCATTGATAACATGATATACATGTATATGTATATATTTTAATTTATCACTCTATCTATGAGGTGATCGAGTTATTTCATCGTGCATTATATACTTGTGTCGTTAAGTTGGCTTCACTGGGTTGCCCAAGGCTCTGTCTGAAGACATAAGACCCTACATTCCGACCTTTCCGTCCTCTCAGATAAATCTTAAAATCAGTCTCCACCAATCTAATTAATGTTCTAGACAAGATACTAGAGGCGGATTGAAAACATAGACAAAGGCGTGTTTTTGTAAATCCTCTAAAAAGCTGTGGATTCGACTTGTGTTAATTGCGTATAGAAACCACAATAGGCTAAGGAAATGGAATGGTTTTAAGGTTAGATTGATCGTTCATTTCCCAAACCACTGTGCACCCTGGCAGCAGGAATTCGAATGACCGTGCACCACAGTACAGGCACTATTGAACACGTAACCATATAACTACGCACCATCAGCAACGTAATGTGTTATATCAACTCGTGAGTTTGTGCCTAATGTCAGGTTCCCATTATCACGATTCGCGCTACGATTGAAATCGTGGTTTTAATCGTGGAGTAATCGTGGTGATCCTATGTATGGAAGCCGATAGTAGCAATCGTATTGATCGTATCGAAACATACTCGAACTTATCTGCACGTACCTGGGGCCTGTTTCTCGAAATCTTAACTAAAGATAAAATCCAGATTTAGTAGATACTTCAATTTTGATTGGCTAAGCACTAAAATCAATCTAATATTATCCAATCAAATTACTAAAATTTGGATTTGATCTTAGTTAAAATTTCGTGAAACAGGCCCCAGATCGTGGACTCAATAGAGACTTTTGCCAAGCCGAATTTTCACATCCGTATCACGTATCCGTATGTGATAAGTTGCGTCAAAGTAGTTTTAGAGTTTGGGCAGATTTTTCCGTCGCGTACGTATGCGTCGATGAGCTGAGCTTAGTTCTATTACAGCATTATGGCAGATATCTACCAAGATCACCATCAGTACTGGTCAAGTGCCCATTATATTATAGTCTACAATTTACCGGAGGGAATGAAGTTGCTCGACAGTCGCTGAGCTATTATAAAAAAAATAATAATGTCGAATCTTATTAAAAATCTTTGAGTTCGACTCGACTGTAATTTTTGGTTTCACTAATGTATCATTTCAGAAAGTTTATACCCTTTTACCACAGATAAAAGCTTTTTCAGATTTATATATTATATTAAAGGTATATTAATAAATAATGGTTTAAGAATAGAATAAGATTCGCTCTAAATTACAGGTCCGGTGTACACATTGGTGTCCACGTAAAAGAACCTTTGACAGTTGGAATTCGATATAAAAGTAAGCCGTAGTACCACTGTCCGGGTAAGATTTCCGTCATGGCACACTGTATAGTATGATGTCCATCTTCATTAGCCGGTAGTACGTTAACCCCCCCCCCCCTCCCCGAGCCACTGTTGGTAAGACGTTGGCTCGCTAGCCTGGAGGTCGCGTGTTCGATCCCTGCATTGGCCGAGAAAGTTCATAGGGATTTTCCGACGTGGTTCCCCCTCGTCAGTGTTTCAGAACGGAGTGCATGACAAGGACAACAGTCTAGTCATTAGGATGGGACGAAAAGTCGAGGATCCGTGTTAACAATGGCGTGCACGTACAAGATCCCTTGGCAGTTGGAATTCGTTATAAGAGTAGGCTATAGTGTCGCTACCCGGCTAGAATTTCCCTCATAGCCCGTCTTCATTTTCCCAGTAGGAGTAGAACAGTAGGACGTTAAACCCCATTTCATTTCACGTTAAATCCCATTTTATTTCTGGTTTCTAAAATACTGGCGAATGTTGAAGGTTGACATTAATTACATGTGAGTTATTCCATAAAGAGATTTGTAGTGTTTATTTAATATCACATAGTAATCTGTTATTAAGGAGTTCTGTGTTCGCTCTCTGATGCTGGGATAGCTGTTTAATGCTCCGATAATCTCGTGACATCGTTGTATACTCATTAGATGATTTCTCGTGGGGTTGGTTCAAGGACGAACCACTTATTCTTTGCGCGATAAGAAATTGTTTTCTGCTGTCCCGAGATTACTATGAAGATATTTAGCGTGAGCTGGATCAGTATGGACACCCCAATAATCATTTTATCATAATTAAGATATTACAGTCATACTTGTAAGAACTTGTCCGGTCAAAAAGTCAAAACAATTTTCATACATCTTATATCTCCAAAGCAAATGATATTTGGCTATTTTCAGAAAGCCGCTGACCGCCATTTGCATTTCTCGGAAATCATTTATATTTTTACTATCCAATCCATCCTAAGATGTCCTCAAATTAATTATCTAACATTTAATTTAAAAAAAGGGAACCAACAAATCTAATGGTGGATAATCTTCGGGTTTGAATCCAGTCGGATTGATAAGAAGTCCGTCAAAAGATTATTGCTAACACTAATAAGTGGCGACGTCATGTTTTGTGGAAATGTCCACATCTTTGTAAATACTGAACGGAATTGAGCCATTTTTGGACTTTTATTATTTGAAATGAAATGAAATGGGGTTTAACGTCCTACTGTTCTGCTCCGAACTGGGATAATGAAGACGGGCATACGCCATATATTGTGCTATAAGGGAATTTTGTCCAGACGGCGGCACTACGGTCTACTCTTATATCGAATTCCAACTGTCAAAGGGGACCCCCGCCGGAAAATCTGGATGACCTTTCTGGACCAATGCAAGGATCGAACACCTGACCTCCAGGCTAGCGAGTCAGCGTCTTACCCACTTAGCCACCGTGGCCCGCCTTATATTATTTAAAGAGATTCAATATTCAAAGCATATTAGTTTAACAATACATGATGTAAGATTTAGTTAGAGGGTTTGTCTTTCTTAATATAATAGTTCAAAAGTAGATAATATTGAACATTTATGTTAAATTACTTTCATTAATCAACATAAATAGTCTCAAGTTTTAAGTATTCTTGCTACGATAATAAATAAAGCCCCGCCTATCGATTTTAACGTAAAATTATCAAATAGCACTGTTGTTCTAATCCATTTAATGTCTTGGCCATCCGGTGATCTAGAGAGTTGATTAAAGGCTTGTCATGTAAATGAATATCTCAGTAATAATTTATATAGCATCAGTAATATAAGCCAGAAAAAATAGAGTAGACAAATTGAGTTGGTACATAATACATCTTAAAGATCGTGTGATCGAAACGTCTGTCATTGACCCAAGTGGCGTGGTTTCGGTTTCCCGCTTTTACGTGTAAGAAGTAGGGTCACTTGTCCAACCATGTCGGTTTTCTTCTGGGTCCTCCGGTTTCCCCCCATTGCTAGAGACCCCTACACACAATCAAATTATTGCCCCCCCCCCTCTCTCTCTCTCCCTCTTGCCTTTGGTCAAGTAAACTTTCTTCTCTTCTCTTTTACAGCAACTCAACATGGGACGATCCAACAGCTAATTGCTAGACTTCGTCTAAAGACAAGGATTTGTAATTAATGGAATGATTAGAGAAAATCTTGTGATTGATTACAGTATAATTATTTATTTTTAGGATAAACTCCTGGCTTTTCTTAACGACATAATAATTATACACCCTGGACTAGCTGACATTCTGTAAATACAATATCATTAATACCGGTTTTCATCTAACACGGAACAGCGTTCGTATACAGTACAATTATACTTTTTTTATAGACCGTGTTTGGAATATATCTATTTGTTTCTGCGCTAAAGTTTCTAACACGGATCATATATTATTGTAATTCTCGACTGAAACAGCGCAGATAGATACATTATACTTGCACATACCATATATACTTATAAACATTTGCTTCTGAGCTAACGTTTTCTATCTTTGAATAGTTCTGCGTGTTATACCTTTGTATTTGTTTAATAATAATAATAATAATAATGAAGTTTTATATAGCGTCTTCTCCATGTTGACACATGCTCAAAACGCTTTTTGTAATGGCTCTACTGGTAAAACTGTTGAAACAGGAAAGTCTTTAGTGCGGATTTAAATTGATTAAAAGTTTGTTGATTCTTGATCTGTTGTGGAAGTTCGTTCCATAATCTAGGACCAGCTGAACTGAAAGACCTATACCCATATGACTTCAAATTATATCTTGGAACAACTAGTGACTGTTTATTTTGAGAGCGAAGTGATCTAATAGGGTTGTAGTCATATAAGAGTTCAGATAAGTATTGATGAGCTGCATTATTGCGACATTTATACACTAATGTTAGTATTTTGTATTTGACTCGCGCCTCAGCAGGTAACCAATGTAAAGAAGCCAGCACATTCTGGATGTGATCAAACTTATGTGTCCTTGTTACTATTCGGGCTGCAGTATTAAGAACCTTTTGGATCTTGGCTAGAAATGCTTGTGGGATTCCATAGAGTAAACTCTTACAATAATCAATCCTTGATAACATAGTTTATTAGTTTTATGTTTATAACCCAATATTTATATCGTTAAGCGGGTGGGGGAGATATTTGGGGCTGCATGGAACATGCTATAGAGTCAATTGTGGTATTTCTCATCGATGGTATATGATTAACACTGATTTTAACGTTGAAAACCGCATTGTAACCGCTCAAGGGGCGTAAAATCGCTAAACCCGATACGCTAATGACGACATTGTGCCACCTTCTCACCTGACCCCTTCTAACTAGATGTAATTCATGTATCGGTTTTAACAATGTTGTGTAACTAGAGTTCTAGCTTGTGACGGTTTTAGCAAGTTATTGTAACTAGATTTCCTGAGCATGACTCTTTTATCAAGTTCTCATAACTAGACATACTTCATGTATCGGTTTTAATAATTTCTTGTAACTAGATTTCTAGCGTGTGACTGTTTTAGCAAGTTATTGTAACTAGATTTCCCAAACATGGCTCTTTTATCAAATTCTCATAACCAGTCATACTTCATGTATCGGTTTTAATAATTTCTTGTTACTAGATTTCCTGCATGTGACTGTTTTTTCAGGTTTTTGTTTTAGCAAGTTCTTGTAACTAATCTCTGCATGTGGCTGTTTTAGCACGTTCTCATAACTAGATTTATTTCATGTGGCTGTTTTAGCACGTTCTCATAACTAGATTTATTTCACGTATCGGCTATTGCTATGTCCTGTAACTAGACTTCCTGCGGGTGAATGTTTCAGCAAGTTCTCATAGCTAGATTTATTTCATGTATCGGTTTTAGCAATTTCTTGTAGCTAGATTTACTGCATGTAACCGATTCAGCATGAATCGGTTTTCAAAGCGAACTTGATTGCTGAGATGGAAATCAAATAAATCTCTGAGCACAGGAATCACGAAATCGTGTCTGTATAATTATTTCATTTTAGAATTCATTCGTAGACTTAATAATCCTGTTCTGTGTTAGAAATACATGAGTACTAGGAAAGTAAATGATATGTATTTTGATGGTGGATTGTGTATCGTAATTGTAGCTGTAACAACGAATAATTTCTTTGTTGGCTGAAATCGTCGATGATCTAAAGGATGTTACTGGGACCGTAACAAGTTAGAGCAGACAGTGACAACATTAAATATTTAACGTGTTGGTCTAATTATTGTTTTTAGTTGATCCAGAGAACAATTTAAACCTTCGCCAATCTATTTATAGAATATCTTAGATGACTCAACTGAACTTATTGTCGCAATGTTTAACACTGGAGTCAGAATTGACGTGTCGTGTAGCCTGCTAAAGTGACGTCCTTGCCCATATAGATTCCTTTGATCAAGCGTAGCAAACGGTCAATCCCCATCAATATTTTTATCAGATGATTGGGACATGTTGGTTATAAAGCTTAAGATGGTCGGAATCTTTAAATAAATCTTATAGGCCAAGAAATGCCATTATGGCAATGTCTTGACTATGTTCGGGTGATGGGCTTTTCTCTGTCCGTCTGTCCGTTAGCCAAATAACAATAAATTATGTAGAATATCTAGATTGAGCTCCATTATGACCTTTTCCTGTTAAAGCTAAGCTAGAATAAGCAATTTCATTGACGTCACTGATTTGGAGCAGTGGTTCTCAACTTTATTTTGCCAACGGCACACATGAAAAAATAGCGGCACACCTGGCTAAATATATATGAAAAATATTTGAATTTTGCAAAACGAAAACATGGCAAGTCAAACGGCATACAAGGTGAACCGTAGACAGAAACTACAGAGATATATAGGATGACTCAAACCAAATAAAGAAAAATACTCAATTGGGATCATGTGATTCAAAATTCCGAGGCACACTGGTTGAAAATCACTGATTTGGGGTGATGCAACTTATCACGTCGATACCTAAGTTCACTAATGGGAAATGTCGTGGGATATCAGACTCGTCATTGGCTTGTTAACGTGGTAGTGGGTCCGGTTTTAGGAATTATAGTCCGATTTCAGATTAACTTGAATGGGCAGTGTGTGATCTGTAATTCTGTACATGATTATCTCCCTTGGTATGCGATGCTGCAGACATGTATAGTCAAACAGAATAAGTTTTATAAATGAAATGAAATGAAATGAAATGGGGTTTAACGCCCTACTGTTCTGCTTTGACTGGGCTAACGAGGAAGGTCATACGCCATACAGTATGCTATGTGGGAAATTTTGCCCGGACAACGGCGCTACGGCCTACTCTTATATCTAATTCCAATCGCCAAGGGATCTTTTACTTGCACGCCAATGTGTACACGGAACCTCGGTTTTTCGTCCCATCCGAAAGACTAGCACAGTCATTCTCGATCAACACCGGAAGAGGACCCGCTACCTCCAGACAAGCGATCCTTGCTGTATTTCATGTGGAGGTATTCCAGCAGCCAAACAAACTGGAACCTGGAATGATCCGACTTAAAGCGAATTAAAATCAAATTGAGGGGGGCGGGGGTGTTCCTGTCGTGTCAAGTATGGCAAACCAAGAAACTTCGAGAGTTTTCCAGCCAAATTGTGACTTACGGTCGATTAATAAACTTTGTCTAATCGCGATGACTAACTGAGACAGCGTATGTAACTCGATAGTGCACATACAAGATTCCTTGGTTGTTGGAATTTGAAGATGTTTAGACGGAAACGCCCTTATTTGGGTAAAGGTCAGTGCAATTTCTAATGTAACTTAAACTACACAAAATTGATAAGTGGTATGAGGTGTTCGAGAAGTGATCATGGCTTTAGAGAGAAAGAGAGAAATAGGGTTTAACGTTCACTCAAAACAAACTAGGTCATTCCGGGACCAACATATGGTTTAATTTTATTTCAATAATTCGCTTGCGCGTAGGGGTCTTTAGCAGTGGGAGGAAACCGGAGGACCCGGAGAAAACCCATGAGGTTGGACAGGCGACCCTACTCCTCTAGAAATGGTACCTATAGTAATAGTAAGCACATAAAACAAACTCTTGGACACGACATATCACTCGCACAAGTAATAAATACCATAGAATTATATTCACAAATAATCAATTCAAAATTTAAAACGTAAATAACAAACTATATGTATCTTCTGTGAGTCCAATATTGAAACTACAACCGGAGAGTCAAAACCACGCCATTTGACTCAATGAAAGGCCTAATGATACAACGCGCACGCGCTATCCACTCCGTCAACCAACCCCCTTCGAAACAGTGGACTTAAAGGCTTTTACCCAAATCGAAACTGGACTGGAATGACCGATGGTCCGTCTTTTACCCAAATCGGAACGATCAGTCTTTACCCAAATCGAAAGGGTCCGGTGTTTTAAGTATAAATGGTGGGTTGGTATAACTCGGTCCGTTTATAAGATCAATACAGACTAGAGGTAAGTATGGGGCGTGCAGTGATTGATTCTGATGATAAATTTCAAGCATTAAATCATGTAATCTCTCGTCTTTACGTGCTGTTATAATTGATGACCAGTTTTTACGTTCAAATCAAATAAATTGTTGTCTGGGAGAAGGATTGTATTATTGTCTGGTGTTTTTATGGTAAATACCCATCTCGCTATTATTGGTAGGCTTTAAAGAATCGTTTAAGATAAAAATCTACGAGTTTTTATCGTATATTGTTCACGTAGTTTAAATGAAGTGGGTATTAACGTCTAGAAGACTTGATATGAGTCATTGTTGGATTTTCGCCATGTTCCATGACACGTTCCTGTGGTATGTAATCTAGTGCGTAGTAATTGTGTAATTGTTGTTATATAACTAACCATACAGTAACGTCTAGAAATGAATGGAATACTTGAATGTCGCTTAACCCCTTATGTTTCTACACTAACGAACGACTGGGGGAATCTCTTTGCCACTCAATGGAGGGGAGATATCAAGCGGGAATATACGGAGGATCTTTACCGGCAAATATGTTAACGTTCGTCCACTAGCTAGGCACCCCAATCGCTTCCCCCAAATGCGAATCCTGAGCTGTTATTGTTGTTTATTACAAATTTAACGTCCAATACATATTAAATGATATTATGGACACGATTTAAATAAAATTATATGCATATGAAGGGGTAATAAAAAACAAATTAAAAAAAACACCCCCCCCCCCCCCCCCAAAA